TAGGCGTTCGCGATCGCGTGGTGGCAGAGATAGGGTAATTATTACTGCTCTGACGTGCGGAGAAGAGCGGTGCCACGTAGTTGGGGGTTTCCATACGAGAATACGAAGAATTAGCAGTCGAAGGGCTCAAGACATTGGGTAATTTTGTATCATCAGATGGCGGAGGGTATAGCGAGTCGCCGTTGCCAATTGGAGGAGGAACAGGCATCAGTCGACGGGCATTAACAGGGGGAGGAGCTGCTGATATGAGGGGTATAGGAGGTGCTTCAAAGCTTGGGGGGCTTTGCTGTTCCAATGACTTGGTCAAACCAGACGATGTGGTAGGACCGATCTTCGACATACGGTGCTCCTGGAATGAGAAGGCAGAAGAAAATTTTGACTGTTCCTTCTGGTGTTCTAAGAGGATGTCGTCCAATAAATACCGGAAATCAAGGCCATATTCCTGTAAAAGCTACCGTGTTTTAATATATATTGCGTATATAATTCGATAGAAAGATAAAGAGTATCAGCGTACCTTCTTGCTTTGTGTTTGCGTGATGTGTATGGCTTCTTCCACGATTTTCGTGTCAACCTCGTTCGAGTACACCTGCTTTCTGAATATTTCTGCATATTCTTCAATGCGATCCTTAGTCCAAGTAATGAATGCTGGTGATAAATAAAATCAGCGCAATCACCCGAAATAACACAGAAAAATTACGACGTACAACTCGCCACTTCATTCTCTTTGAAACTGGCTAAATACCAATCTGCCGTATGTTTAATCCCTGTAAAATAGACAACAGCTAATTCTCCGATGAATGTACCGATGTGCCCTTCAAATCGAATCTTTCGGGTAAGCGCGTGTATAACACCTGTGCGCATCTCCAGGAATGTACTCCGAGCAGCAGCACCAGCTTTCAGTCTATTGAGAAGGGATATATGCGCAACGACTGTGCTTTTCCGCACGGATGAGAGGGCAAGGGAAGCTAGTAGTGACGTTATTAGTTGGCCTGTTAAATGAGAGAGTTTCGTGGACAGTAATGGTATAACGCCAACTTTGGCTTGGCCTGGAAACACGCAAATTAGATAGGTTGTGAGATGACGGTAGAATCATTGTACCTTTTTCGACCAGATCCACCGCTTTGCCCCATTCTTTCAAAGCTATCGCTATTGTAAGGTCATCGGACCATTCGCCCACCCATCGAGTGTCCCTTTCCGCCTTTTCCTTGGCGTCGACAGCGATACCAGGGATGTCACCGCCCCTTTTTGCCAACTCGGCCATCCAGTCGGGTACAGGAGGTACAGGAGAATTCCGCTAGTGTAGATATTGAACATAAGTATAGATACAATATGTATAATGGTTGGGGGTAAACTCACACCACCGATTCCAGTGGAAACTCCCCCAGCTCCTTGCCACATGCTCTTGCGACGTTCATGTTCTCCTTCCCGCTCCTTTCTTTTTTTCTGCGATAGTTCTTCGGCGACTTGTCGAAACTGCGCAAGTAGGCCTTTTTTATCTGCAGGGGATTCAGTTCTGTAAACGTGGGTTTCCTTGTTATGTTTGATTTTGAACACGTTGGTCATGCCTCAAGGAAGAATGAATAAACAAAACAATCAAATGGATGAAGAACTCACTTGGAGTATCCTTTGTGTCAAGGACCAACATCTCATTCAACAGCCAGCATTTTTCTGCCACAAGTTTGCCTTCATTTACGGTTGAACCACCGCCGTCGGCGCCGGCATTTGCGGCGCGTCTCCTTCTTTTGGCCACTAGTACTGCATCGTCAAGAATGACGAATTTGACTTTTCCAGTGACCTTGTACGTTGCCGCGTTAAGACTGAATACATTTTCGATCTCTCCGACTACGTGTCTTCCTGGCATAGTCGGCACGAATTTGGAAGCACCTTCAATTGATGCGTGTAAGGCTTGCATTTGGTTGAAGTATAGAACGCGCAAGTCAGCAACTGAAGAGCGCTTGTAAGTGGACATTAAAGACGAGGATGTAGAAGTTGGATCAGGTATGTGTAGTGTCGAAGGCATGGACTTGTAGTCGGATAGTAGATCTTTGAGTTCTAACATTTCATTTTCAAGAACTGATATTTCTTTCGAGATAAGTACAAATTCAGCATAACTGACATGACACTATTGTTAGATAAATGTGCTTCGTGAAATGGGAATATCGCGTACTTCTTGAATACGCTGCGCTGAAGCTCAGCGGAAGTGTCGTCCACGGCGCTGCGTAACGACGACTGTAAAGTCTTGAGTTCTGATTCAGTTGAGTTTGCAAGCTTTAGTTTGAGATCTGTCCAAGGAATTTATAATCCAGATAGAAGTACTTATGATGATCTGGGCTCACAAGCAGCAGGATCAAAGTTCTCGTCGCTCAACAGTCTCTTGTCATCGCTAACGGCTTTCACATCGTCCTTCGTGCCAGTTCGGTCCCGAACATCCTCTTCGCCTTCACGACCACCAATGGCCGCTCTTTCTCCAGCGGGAATCAGCCCCATGAGACTCGGCATCGGTGGGACACCAGAGAGCTGAGTCGGACTGGATATGTCGGCATAGCGCGTCGACATGCGTTTCTTGATCTTGTCATCTATTCGATTCTTGCCTCTTTCGCGCGGAGTTACTCCGGCACCAGGCTTCGCGAGTTTTGTGGTCGGAGAACGCTGTGCTTTACGAGGCGCCTGAGAGGGCCGGGAGCGGAGGGAGATATCCATGGTGGTTGCAAGCAAGTCTAATTACGTACTGAGCGCCCGCCTTGTGTCACGGACCGACCCCACATCATCGTCACGTCCATAATCTCCAATTGGCTGACATACACCACGGTCACATAACTGAATTCGCTCTCGGGCTTGCTCTCCGCCATCATCGCTATCATGGCCATGTATCCCCCCGAGTCCCAACAGCCTTGGGCGCACCAGCCTCCCCGTTCATCCCCGTCCACGGAGTTCGTTTCCCCTCCCGATTCCACCAAGCAGTTTCTCTCAAATTCGCGCTCTATGAAGGATCTTCCGGATCCATCTGCCAATAGGCTTGAACCAGAGGCAGAGTACTTCGACGACCATTCCCCCGAACAGGAGGACGACAATGACGATTTTTTCAACGGTAACTCGTCAAATGCAAATGGCTCACTACACCCTAATGGCCCATACAATCCAGTTGTTGGGGACTACCGTGGCGGCTCTGTTGCAACGCAGTCCGTTCGATCTCCATCCCCCCCGCCAGGTCCTATTCTCGACCATTCCCATCTTCGGCCTGGAAATCAGGCCTCCCTGCTCTCTCATGAACGCACCTTGGAGCTTTACCGTGCAAACGCTAAAAAGACCCAAGACCCTGACCTTCAATTCGAGTTTGCCGTATTTATGATAGATGCATCCAAGACAATGCCCATCCCCGTCCTCAATGCCGGTAACGTGATGGAGGTCGAAAAGGCGATTGACAAGAGGGAAGACCTCATTCGTGAAGCTATGGCTTTGCTCAAACGTCTTGCCGACCGAGGACATCCGCAGAGCCAATACTTTTTGGCTGACTGCTACGCGAACGGCATCGGAACAGTCAAGAACAAGCAGGACTTTGACCGTGCATATCCACTATTCGTCCTGGCCACAAAACATAACCACCCTGACGCTGCGTATAGAGCTGGTGTCTGTTGTGAGAACGGTTGGGGCTGTAGGCGGGAATCGGCGAAGGCACTGCAATTCTTCCGGAAGGCGGCGGCAGCATTGCATCCTGGAGCCATGTATAGGCTGGGAATAGCCGAATTAAATGGAGAGCTAGGTCTTTCCAAAAGCCCAAAGGAGGGCGTGAAATGGCTAAAAAGAAGTGCAGAAAGTGCAACGGCCGAGTTCCCTCATGCTCTCCACGAACTGGCTCTCCTTCACGAGCGCGGAATAGACAATGTCCTCTTCGTCGATTATGAATATTCTACGGAACTCCTGGCTCAAGCAGCTGAGCTCGGATATGCACCTAGCGCATATCGACTAGGAGAATGTTACGAATACGGGAAAATGGGATGCCCTCAAGACCCAGCATTGTCAATACACTACTATGCGAGTTGAACATTTCCCCTTTACCTATTATAACTCATAGATTACACGCAGAATATTGCTGCGCAGCAGAACCACCGGGACGCATGTTTTGCCCTCACAGCTTGGTATCTCGTTGGTTCCCCGGGTGTCCTTCCTCAATCCGACACCGAGGCATTTCTCTGGGCGCAAAAGGCTGCTGATGCCGGACTGGCCAAAGCCATGTACGCGGTTGGTTATTTCCTCGAAGTCGGTATCGGCACAGCGCCCAACATGACCGAGTGAGTTCCGTTCCCTCGCCTTTTAAGCCAAACATATCTTGTCTATCTCTGTGAGACCGTGACTGACGGAATGTTGCAGAGCAATGCTGTATTACAAACGCGCAGCTGACTTGGGTGATAAGCGTGCGGCTCAACGTCTGCGCGGGTCCCAGAGCCAGCCCATGCATCAACCTGGAGGAGCAGGAGCTGTTGTCAGCCGCGGCTTGGACGACACGACGAACAAAAACGCAAAGGACAAGGACTGCATAATTATGTAACCTCAGTCCCCCTCACGCTGAATCATTTATTACTCTCTGAGCGAACAGATTTTCATTCATTCTTCTCACGATACCAGGAAGGCTTGTCCCGTTATTGGCGTACATTATCCATATCCGAAGCATCTTAAACTATGACATTCAAGATTCACCCCAATTCATGTAATCTACATTCTCTCCGACCCGATTTTCATGGACACAAACTGTAAAGTTAATATCTTACATATCGCAACATACTTTTTCTTGGGTAGATAATTGAGTAATGAAACCAGCCTACCTCCAGCCTAGGAAAAGATGGGGAAGGAGTAGATATACAGAATTGTTCCTGCAAGATCATTCCGTAGCAAGTAGCTATAATCATTGACTGCGTATTTGGAAGGATACTGCAGTTTGTTCTTCAGCCTGGGGCTATTAGGGTAAACGGGTATTATTCTACCTGGACCAACACAGCATTTAAGGACCCCTAGCTCAGTGGTAGAGCGTGAGATTCCAGTAAGCTTGTCTCCTCAAGGTCATCCGTTCAATCCGGGTGGGGTTCATGTTTTTGATATTCTATCGTGTACTAATCTCGCAATTCTAAGTTCTGCGTTGAAGCTTCAAAATTCAAGCAACTTGTTACTTGTCAAGAAGGCTTCAACTGTCAACAAAATGAAGTTATGATGTTTGAACATATTTGTGTAAATTCAAAATTCTATTATTGCATATGCCGCTTGACCGATTCGAACTTCCGGGACTACCGCGGCCGCCGCTCCGGGCTGGGCGTCCGTCGGGCGAGCGTTGTCGTGACTCGTCGCATCTTGCCCTCCTTCTCCACTTCCTAAACATAATCATTAATGCCCACTTGAACGTGCGCTGACTGAGAACTCAGTGCGGCTTACAAACAGCTTGAATTCTGACAAACATGACCATGACGTCGATATCGCAGCATATGCCACCCTGATTTCGCTCAGATTCAAATGTATTTATACGAGGTCAATGTATCCCACAGAATGCAGACTAAGTACGCCGACTCAAATCAAATCCCAATACTCTCTACACCGATGTCTGTTCATACTGCCATTGCTGCAACTGCCAAGGGCCGAATCGACGCCATTCAAGTACCCACTCGGGCACCTGATGCTGGCGAAGTGCTCCTCAAAGTGGAATACGCCGCAATGATTGCGTTCGACACCTATGTCACCGACTTGGGCTTTTATGTCGAAAAGTACCCTGTGACACTTGGCTTCAGCGCGTCTGGGACTGTGTCCAACCTTGGCTCCGGAGTCGAGGGCCTAAAAGTGGGAGACAGGGTATGTATTCCCAATGTTTAATATCAACATAGACTGATGCCCACCTACCTAGGTAACTGCGTTTACCTTTGGAGAGTCGCAGAACAAAGGAGTGCAAGAATATATCACGCTATCGAAAAATGTTGTCGCCAAGGTCAGTGATGTTTCTCTCTGGCACGAGTTATGGGGTTAAATACATCACTCAAACAAACATCCTTCGTAGATTCCAGATTCTCTCCCTCTGGCGGCGGCAGCTACCCTACCAGACAACTTTGTAACATCGTTTTACACCCTCTTCAACCAGCTCGGCCTTCCAATCCCAGCATCATTCCCAGCGACAACCCTTCCTCCGCTGGCATCGGTCCCCGTCGTGATATATGGTGCTGGGTCCGTATCTGGCATATACGCCGTTCAGCTCCTTCACACAGCCGGTTACAAGAAGATCGTTGCCATTGCATCCGAGAGGAATCACGAATATCTGCACTCTATAGGCGCTACGGACACCATTGACTATAGGAGCGCCTCCCTTGTCGAAAATATCAGCGCTGCTGTAGGTGGCGACGGGAAAGTCCTATTGGCCGTCGATTGTATCGCAGCGGAGACCACCAGTTTGAAGACGCTGGGAAGCGTTATGAGCCCCTTGGGAAAGCTTGCGATTCTCCTTCCGCTCAAGGAAGGTAGCACAGTGACCAACGCGCCCGATCAGGAGATGTACTGGGAAGTGCGCCCAGAAAAGACACCTTTTCCCAAGGGAACAGAGCTTGTATACGTGCGGACGTTCTTCTATCAGCAGGTATGGATAGTTGTATTTTCATCGGTTTGGATTTTCTCACCTACCTGCTTTTCCAGGACGAGACATTGCGCGAGAAATTGATGCCGAATATCCTACCTGCTCTCCTTGAGTCTGGGGTAATTAGTCCTAGCCGGGTGCGCCTCTTAGATCAAGGAAGCCTCTTGGAAAGAGTGAGCACAGGTCTTCAGTTGCTGAGGGAAAACAAAATTAGCGGCGAGAAGGTCATCGTGAAAGTAATTTCGTAGGCTGGCATGGCTCTATATACTATATTCTGAGCTTGATTTATGCCCAAAGGCGAACAACCCCAAGGACCAGTAGACTTTCACTGTGCCACTCGCAAGATGATGGATGACGACACGCGTATGTAGTCGCGACTGGTTAATTGAGATCACGCGCCTACCCCTATAGATCACGTTATTCGGATCTACGTTCGTTTCCCCCGGGCCGCGGTCCCGTCGACGGTCGCGGCGAAAGGTTAAGTTCAAGCTAATCTCGCTGGGACGAGTCAGTCGAAGTCGCTACCCAGGGAGCGATCCCACGCGCGAGGCGATGAAAGACGACTATCGACTGGACTACGTTACGTGCCGCAGATGGTCAGCATGAAGAGCGACCACAGCAGCAGATAGGTGCACTCACTAAAGGGACGTGCGAGCGGGTCAGGATGAAGAGCGACCCCGCACACAGACCCTCGGCGTGAGGCTGATGGGCGTGCAGATGTCTCACATGCCCTTGTTGCACCTAGAACGGTGGCAGACGGGCAAGTGGCCATTGCGACGCCGGCAGGCTTATCCGCTGTGACACTGGATGTCATGGTCGCGGGTGCTGCAAAGACCGTGGACCTGCTGAAGGTCAGGACACGGGTTGGAGGACGCGAAAGGCGGTCTCGTCAGGACGAGATTAGCCTTGTGTAAACACGTGCCTTTTTAAATCCAATTAAGTTGGAGCCACAGCGCGCAAGGTCCGTCCGTTACGGTTCAAGGGACAAGCTATTGCAGCACATGCAAGCCACTGTATACCCGTCTTCACCCACTGTTGAATCTGAGCTCATTTCAACTCTTATCTGAACGCATATCCAGAGTCATGATACCCTCCAACCGCTCAGTTTCATCTAAGCTTCATTTGTCCGGTGTCTTTGTCCGTGCTACCGCAATCTCTGGAAGTCAGTCGCGTACATTATCGACAGCCTCCAGGAGACCCAGGAGACCGAAACCTGTTGACGTGGCCCGCTATATTGCCCACAGGATCACCCCCATCGGAACCCCTAGTAGTAATATTACGCCGTATCGCCGTTACGCGTCGGAAAGTCAGAATCGTGAGTTGAATTCATATTTCACTCATAAAGCAGACTGGTGTACATACCCATGCTCAGATACTAAATTTCTTGGATCCCATGCCCACTTCGGCAAGATCCTCATTGCAAACAGGTGCGTTATACCTGTAGGAGTGTTGAGTCGATTTACGACGATTTCTCCAGAGGGGAAATTGCATGTCGTATCATTCGTACTGCGAAGAAGCTTGGGATCAAGACGGTGGCAATATATAGTGAAGCAGATGTAGACTCACTTCATGTCAAACAGGTGTGCTTCGATGGTATAACCTACGGACCATGCTGAAGGATGATATCAGGCTGATGAAGCTTACTGTATTGGCCCCGCTGCATCCTCTGCGAGCTACGTTCGTGAAATAGTCCTAGAAACGTCGAAAATCACACTAACTTGCCTACCTGCAGCTTAACATGGACAAGATTATTGATATTTGCCACCGTAGTGGCGCACAGGTTAGCATATAAATTCCATCCTAAGGAAATAGGTTACTTATTTAAATTGTCAGGCCGTTCATCCTGGGTGAGCATAATTTATCCTGTGGCTGAAATCTGTATTGACAATATTGGAAAGCTATGGTTTCTTAAGCGAAAATTCGGCATTTTCAAACCGACTTCAACGAGAAGGAATCGTATTCATCGGGCCTCCTGCAAGTGCCATCGTAAGTATGGGATCTAAAAGGCGCGTTTCATCCATTTGTATAGTAAACATATTCTCCTAACTCGAAACAGCGAATCTAAGAATATAATGATAAGTGAGTTGGATTTATGCTTACATATTTCAAGCCAATTTTATACTTCATTTAGGTGCCGGAGTTCCATGCGTTCCAGGATATCACGGAGACAATCAAGATCCTAGTTTTCTGTATGAGCAGGCTCAACAGATAGGTAAATAGCTGCACATATGTATGCCACGACATTCTGACTTACTTGAATAAATAGGTTTCCCTGTGCTTATAAAGGCCATCCACGGAGGAGGCGGGAAGGGCATGCGGACAGTCACAGCTGCGACTCCTGAAGCTTTCCAAGAAGCTCTAGACTCTGCTAAACGAGAGTCACTGAAAGCGTTCGGAAATGACACTGTCCTTGTAGAGAAATACATCGAAACACCGAGGCATGTCGAAGTTCAAGTGTTTGCGGACACATTGGGAAACGTAGTTAGCCTGTGGGAGAGAGATTGTTCTGTTCAGCGACGAAATCAGAAAATCATAGAAGAGGTATGTTTCGAGTCCCATGGATTGCTTCTCAAGTATTGAACTGTTTTTATTTTCAAGGCCCCTGCCCCTGGTCTTTCACCAGAGCTTCGAGCTGATCTTGGCGCTAAAGCTATAGCAGCCGCTAAAGCAGTTAATTACGTCGGTGCGGGAACGGTCGAATTTATCTTCGACAATGACACCGAGAAGTTTTATTTCATGGAAATGTACGCCGATTTCTTTTACCCCACAGTAAGTATTAGATTATTCACCTGCCATAGGAATACTCGTCTTCAAGTAGAACATCCGATTACCGAGATGATCACTGGTCTGGATCTGGTAGAATGGCAACTTGAGGCAATTTCTTCCAAAATACACGCCCTGTCTTTACTGACCAAAAGTACAGGTTGCTGCTGGAAATCCATTGCCCCTCTCTCAAGAAACGATTCCCATGGTGGGCCATGCATTCGAGGCTCGTATATACGCGGAAAATCCGCGAAATAACTTCCTGCCCGATTCTGGGACCTTGTTATATTTATCAACGCCAGAACCTACCCACATTTTTGCTCCCACATATCCATCGCAAACGCGAACTGCTACATCTTCGGATTATACAGCTCTCGGGGCTTCTGAATCAAGCGACCCTTCGTTGCAATTGACACCGTCTCTGCGCGTTGAGCAAGGGTTTACACAAGGTGCCTTGATCGGAGTCTTCTACGATCCCATGATTGCAAAAGTGGTGGTACATGGGAGAGATCGCACAGAAGCCCTGCGAATATTGCGCAAAGCACTTGATGAGTATCATGTTGTCGGAGTTTCTACCAACGTCGAGTTCTTGCGGCGGTTGGCGGGTAATAAAGACTTTATTGACGCGAAGGTGGAAACTGGGTTTATCCCGGTAAGTTCCCTGGCTGAATTTCGAACAAATCATTCAATCCTCACAGAAACACCACCACGAATTATT